GAAGTTACGGTCCTTGAAAAACGAGGACAACTGAGATGTACGGGAGTGGAATGCCTCATCCTGGGAGCAGATGCGGCGGAGGCGAAGGAATTGGGAATAGGGGAGAGCATTTTTGCAGGAAGGTGGGTGGGAGGAGGAGTATTCTAGGTAGCTGTGGGAGTCGGTGGGCTTGAAATGAATATCGGTTTCTAGGTGGTTGCCCGATATGGAGACAGAGGTGTCCAGGAACGGGAGAGAGGTGTTAGAGATGGTCCAGGTAAACTTAAGGTTGGGGTGGAAGGTGTTAGTGAAGTGTATGAACTGTTCGAGCTCCTCGTGGGAGCACGAGGCGGCGCCGATACAGTCATCAATGTAACGGAGGAAGAGGTGGGGTTTAGGGCCGGTGTAGGTACGGAAGAGGGATTGTTCCACGTAACCTACAAAGAGGCAGGCGTAGCTTGGGCCCATGCGGGTACCCATGGCTACCCCCTTTGTCTGTAGGAAGTGGGAGGAATTGAAAGAGAAGTTGTTGAGTGTGAGGACGAGTTTGGCTAAGCGGATGAGGGTATCGGTGGAGGGGGACTGGTCGGGCCTGCGGGACAGGAAGAAGCGAAGGGCCTTAAGGCCATCTGCATGGGGAATGCAGGTGTAGAGGGACTGGACGTCCATGGTAAAGATGAGGTGTTGGGGACCGGGGAATTGGAAGTTCTGGAGGAGGTGGAGGGCGTGGGTGGTGTCACGGACATAGGTAGGGAGTTCCTGGACCAAGGGGGAGAAAATGGAGTCTAGATAGTTGGAGATCAGTTCGGTGGGGCAGGAGCAGGCGGAGACAATGGGTCGACCAGGGCATTCAGGTTTGTGGATTTTGGGAAGGAGATAGAAGCGGGCAGTGCGAGGTTGGGGAACGATGAGGTTGGAGGCCGTGGATGGGAGGTCACCTGAGGTGATGAGGTTGTGGATAGTTTGTGAGATGATGGTTTGGTGCTCAGCGGTGGGGTCATGATCAAGGGGGCGGTAGGAGGAGGTGTTGGAGAGTTGGCGTCCGGCCTCGGCGATGTAGAGGTCAGTGTGCCATACTACAACTGCGCCTCCCTTGTCCACGGGTTTTATGGTGAGGTTGGGATTGGAGCGGAGGGCTGCACGTTCTGCAGGGGAGAGGTTGGAGTGGGTGAGAGGGGTGGAGAGGTTGAGGCGATTGATGTCTCGACGGCAGTCGGAGATGAGGAGGTCGAGGGAGGGTAGGAGGCCTTGGGGTGGTGTCCAGGAGGAGGGGGTGTGTTGGACGGGAGAAGGGGTCAGTAAAGGGAGGGTTAGGTTCACGGTTAAAGAAGTAAGCGTGGAGGCGGAGGCGGCGGAAAAACTGCTGTATGTCCAAGCGTGAGCGGTATTCGTTGATCTGTGGGTGGAGGGGGACAAAGGTGAGCCCTTTACTGAGGACTGACTGTTCGTCCTCAGTAAGGGGTAGGTCTGGGGGGATGGTGAAGACTCGGCAGGGCTGGGTGCTGCTGTCTCCTCTGGAGCTGCTGGCTGTGGAGGCTGTGGGCGGAGTTGCATCGGTGTCGGCTGTGGGCGGAGTTATAGTTCTGAGGATGATCTGATTTGAATAATATATTTGATTTATAAGAAATGTGTTTAATGTCTCGATTTACAGAGGATGGAGTTGAGAGTGATTTAATTTCATTTGCAAAGATGGTTGTGAATTTGTAGTGGGCAAGAAATGCTTGGGTTTTAATGTTAGCTGTACTTTGCAGAATACTCTATGAATGTATACTACCATGTGTCAGAAGAATACTCTGCAGACAATGAAGCTATTAAAAGAGCTGTACTTAATGCTTGTGAGTGTGTTTTTGAATATATCAGTTAAAGTTTGGAATGATAAGGAGCAAACTTAATCAGATGGCTGTACAATTTTCAAGAGAAAGAAATGCCAAAAAAAGTGTTTGATTAGAAGGTAGGGGAACATCCCCACTTGTGGGAAAGCCAGAAGTATGGGAGAAAAGAATAAATGGATATTGTGCTAAAGTTAGATGAAGAATGGCAAGTGGAAGATTGTGTAGAGAACAAACCCTAGAACTGAAGAGCCAAAGGGGGCATGAGAAAATGCTGGTGGGCACAATTAGGGAGAATCCCCAGATACTTTACAAGTACATCAAGGAGAAGAGAATAACCATAGGAACATAGGACCCATTATTGACCAAGGCAGCAATGTGTGCATGAAGTTGGAGGGTATTAGTAGAGTGTTAAATGAATACTTCACATATGTCTTTATGCAGGAGCAGGAGAAGCAAATACAGATTTTAAGATTTAATGTAAAGGTCTGGAGCAGATTGATATAAGTGAGGAGGTATTGAAGATTTATTCACTCCTGCGAAAACCTCCAGATGATGAGTTGGATCCTGCTGTGGGAGATGAGGGAAGAAATAACAGGACCCTGACTCAAAAGTTTAAATTGTCTCTAGCCATAGCGGGTGTGTCTGAGGACTGGTGGACTGCTAGAGATAAACCAGGGAACTATAGACCAGTGACTCTCACATCAGTGGTGGGGAACTATTTGGAGAAAATAGCAAAAGAGAAAACTTAATGTAGAGAGACCAAGTTTGATCAGAGATAGTCAGCATGAATCTGTTAGTGGAAGCTCACACCTAACAAACCTGGTTGAACTTTTTGAGGAGGTGGCCAAGTGTGCAGATGAGGGTAGGGCAGTTGATGTAGATGATATAGATTTCAGCAAAGCCCTTCATACAGTCCTGTATGGGAAACAGGTTTGGTAAAAGCACATGGGATCTAGGGTAATTTGGCAAGTTGGATCCAAAAAATGCATAGTGGCAGGAGACAGAGGGTGGTGGTAGAAGACTGTTTGTCTGATTGGAGTCTGGTGTACGGTGACATACCATAGGGATCAGTGCTGTGTCCCTTACTGTTTGTGATATTCATAAATGATGTAGATGAGAATATGGAGGGGATAAGTTTGTGGGTGATACAAAGTTTGGCCAGGTGGTTGACAGTGAGGAAGAAGGTCTTTGGTTACTATAGGATATTAATGGATTGGTCAGAGGGGTAGATCAGTGACAGGTGGGATTTGACCCTGATAAATATGAGGTGATATGCTTTGGAAGAAGTAACACGACAAGGGAGTGCTCAATGAATGGTAGGACACCGTAAACCTTGGAGGAACAGAAGGATCTTTGGGTGGTTGTCCACAGATCCCCTAGTGGTGTTAGGAGGTTAATTGGGCAGTTATGATATACAGAACACTTGGCTTTATCAGTCCAGCCATAAATTATACTGGCAGGAAGGTTATGTTGGAGCTGTACAGAACTTTGGTTAGACCACAACTCGAGTACAATGTACAGTTCTAATTACCACGCTATAAGAAAGATGTGATTGCATTGGAGAAGGTGCAGAGGACATTAACTAGAATGTTGCCTTGGTTGGAGCATTTCAACTAAAAAGACAGGCTGGTAGGCTAGGATAGTTTTCTTCAGAGCAGAGAAAGTTGAGGGGAGACCTGATAAGGTTGAAGAGCATGGACAGAGGAAATGGAATACAGCTGTTCCTTACTTGAGAGGTCAAGAACAAGGAGGCACACTTTTAAAATGAAAGGCAGGAGGTTTAGAGGGGATTTGATGAAAAATATCCTCACCCAGAGGATAGTGGGTGTCTGGAATGCACTGGCCTGGGAGGGTAACCTCTCAACCTTCAAAATGTTCATCCAAGTACCTTTTTTAGAGTGTCTTTAACATTCAAAACGATGGGTCCAGTGTGGGAAAGGAGGACTACTGTAGGTTGTAGGGTTTTTTTGGCAGTGCAGACTCGATGGGCTGAAGGGCCTCTTCTCTGCAGTATGATTCTATGATTGGTCATTTGAACTATAGGGCTTGTTTCTGTGCTGTAGATTCAATGTAACCTCTTTTAAACTGTGGAATACTTTTCCTGTGCCTAATGTATCTTGGATAGTGTAGCTTTGGACAAGATATTTCAGTGCTATAACAAATTATAGTGTTTATTCACCTTTTGAAGGGAAATCTATTTAATTTATTTATAAAATGTTGTTAGTGGAATACTTTGTGTTGACGATTGCTTAAGTATTTCTTTAACAATCAGATGAAGTAAGGGATTGTTAAATTCCTCTTCTATTGTTACAAATCTTAATACATTCAGGAAATTAGCACTTAAGTTTGTAACCTCTCTTGGTAGAGTCACATGGAAAAAGAAAGCTCCTTTACTAATACACAAACAGCAATTGCTGGAGAAACTCAGCAGCTCCTTTTCTAATATACTGATTAGAACACTTTTTGCGCACTCGTGTTTCTTCTTGAAAATTTTGTGAAATAATGAATGCTTTTTATTCACTGGACATTTGTTTCTGACTCGGTTCTAACGGGCTATTGATTTTAATCCTCAGTAGAATGCATTTGTGACAATTTTCCAATATATGACACTTAATTCAAATCTCTTTCATGGAAACAGTGTTTTAAAGAATTTTACACGTTAATTTCCAATTGGTCAGAGTGCTCCTTACTTACCCAAACAACCACTGACTGTAGAAAAATGGGGACATTTTCAAAATACTGCCAAACAAAGCGTGTTTTGTTTTTCGAGTTAAACATACTTAATTTTGTGGCTATCTGTTTCCTTTTTATCTTTGCAGTTTGTAGTAGCTGGAGATCACCTGGTCCATCACTGTCCCACTTGGCAATGGTAAGTGAATAATGGATTGTGAAAGTTTAAAGTATGAAAACTGAAACTTAGATCTACAATAAATGGAATTTCTTTGGGTCTGTGTAATTTTGCATAATATATACAGTAAAATTTGTGTTATCCAACATTCACCTAGAACAGGAGAGCGCCAGTAAATCTAAAATGCCAGCCAATGAATGGAACACCATGTACTGTTGTGCATTAATGGGTGATCAGAGACAGCTTTGATGTCTTGAGGGAGTTAAAATATTATAGCTTTGTTACCATCAGAATTCAGAGCCACAAACATGCATTGCTCTGGTGTCAGGAAGTCACTAATATTTTCAGTTGTTTTAGCTAGTCAAGTTGCCTGTACTAACATGATTGTTCCAAATTATATTACTGATTTGTTAAGATGCAGCTTCAGAAAATTAGATTATAGAAGATTGCCATGCCATGAGCATGTTACTAAATCCCTCAATGGCCAACAGAAGCTTTTCGCAAGGAGATAAGTGGAGATACCAGTTAGTGGAGTGATCCAGTTGATAGTGCTGAATAGCACAAACTTGACTCCTACTTGCAACATGAAAAGTCTGTTTAATCCAATCGACATGTTCATGTCATGTAAAAGCCTTCTCTCATTCTCTCACATCCTTTCTCTAACCCCATAAATATAACCCATTCTCATTCATGTTTATCTAACTTGCCTAAAATGCATCTATACCGGCAACCCTTCCTTTTTTTTAATTCATTCACGGGATTAGGGTATCGCTGGCTAGGCCAGCATTTAATGCCCAGTTATGAGTCAACCATATTGCTGTGGGTCTGGAATTACATGTAGGCCAGACCAGGGAAGGATGGCAGTTTCCTTCCCTAAAGGACATTATGTGAAAATCGGCAATGGATTCATGGTCATCATTAGATTCTTACTTCCAGATATTTATTGAATTCAGATTCCACCATCTGCCATGGTGTGATTCGAACCTGGGTCCCCAGGACAATACCTGAGTCTCTGGATTAACAGTCCAGCGATAATACCACAAAGGCCATTGCCTCCCTAAATCACTGTTTTATATCTTTGACCTAATTCTGGTTTCACCCTATAAGTGAAAACCTCCTCTTACAGCAGACCTTTTGACAATCCAAATATATCTTTATCTAATTTTCATGGTACTGCTTTAAAGTTTTTAATAAGGTTAGGGCAGGAATTGTCATCCATTTTAGAATCCATGCTGATTATATATTTTCAGTTTCTAAATGTTTTTCTATTAAACTTTTAAAGATTGCGTTATTGTTCATACCGCTGACTAAGGTAATTACTTTGCAGTTCGCTGGATTTGTTCCATCTCCCTTTTTAATCACAGTAGTCATCCTACTGTCCTCTGGTACTGTTTCTTTTCTAATAAATGTGGTAAAGTACACATGGGCTGATGCTTCTGCTGTCCTTTCCTAACTTTTGAATGTATGTAGATGCACTCCATCTAGACCAAGGGTTTTATCGTCTCTAAGTTTGATTATCTATGTTTTTTTGTTATAAACGTCTTTATCTTTATTCATTTTTTCTAACCTCATACATCTCAACTTAGTTCCCCAGCTAAACAGTGAAGAAAATTGATAATGCTACTCATTTTGCTAGAATTGAGAGTTTATCCCTGTCCCTTTTTTTTGCTGTTTGTGATTTGAAGGATACTAATTTTTATATTCTTGGTTAATTTAACTTTGTCATTTCCAGTTGTTTCTTTGGCATCTTTCCTTTTTATATTTTCTCTTGTCAGCGTCTCATTTGTTGTCTCGCACAGACTACATTAAAAACTTAAATGAAGGGACGAAGTGGCATGTATACAAACTTGCTGAATATACAAGACTAATGGCAAAATATAAGCAATATTATATTGTGAGTGGGGTCTCTTTCCACTTTTCTTCCCTATGTCATTCGTCCTAGCATGGACTAAATTTTCCTTCTCTTCCATGTTCCTTTCCACGTGCTTTGAGATATCTGTACCTCTTATTTTCCAGCACATAGGCAAATCATCCCTCTGGACTCCTGGATGCAACTGTATACAGGACATGGAACAAAATCTAAACACTACTGATTGAATTTCCTCTTCCCCCACTCCCCATTTGAACTGTATCCCATTCCATAATTCCATGGTTAGTATTATTGTCTGTGTACCAAGCAGCCTATATCTTGTCCTTGCATGTAGCAAATACATTGTACCTGTTGCACAGGACGGTGTCTGCAGGATCTCCTTCTCTATGTCACCTTAGCTTTCCTTATTCTGCTGAATAGCAGTCACTTCTTTTCCTGCACCAGTGCTGCACTCTGGAGAAAACCATCCAAAGATTCCTCTACCTCCCTTATCATCAAGAGTGTCTCTAACTCCTATTACAGGTCAACAACTCTGAGCTACTCCTTGGCTGCTGTTGTTACACTTGAGGATTTCTAAGATTTTTGGGTCCAACATCCAGCAAACCAACCTCAGATCTCTAAGTTAGGATTGACCCACTGAGAATCCCATATGACCCTGCCATGATTATTTAAGAAGGGGAGGATCAGTGATTCAGAGTATCTGATGGGCCCATCTAAGGAGCTGGAAGAAATGACATTGACTTGTCATTCAGGTTAAAATGGCAAACTCTGATCCAACAATGAACTTTTTTGAATGGTTTCACAAAAAACTAATCAGCAATCAGGGCACTGGTCACACTGAAGTAATTTGAGGCCAGACAAAGTCCCAAGAATGATTATTTAGCATCCCAATTCTGCCAATGAGGAGGTCATTTTCGTTTGCAATAGAATAGGAAAACCTTGTTGAGACTTTGCCTTCAAAATGAATTTAGCTTGAATGAAGTGCTAATGTTAATTGACAAATTTAAAATGATAAAGGCAATTTAAAATGAAACGATTGTTATCTGATGCTATTGTTTTTTTCAGGGGAAGCGGGGAGGATGCCAAAGTGAAACCATACTTACCCAAGGATAAGCAGTTTCTGGTGACAAGAAATGGTACAAGTGTTTTCATTGATTTATACCTTTTCAGACAGTCACAATACATTAGAACGAATTAGTGTATCTTTGAAGTTTAAAATATTGCTGAACATCAGATGGTTTAAATGTTCATTGAGCAAATATACTTAATGTTTTAACGTAGTTAAATGGTCTAATTTTAATGCAGCTATAGTTTTGTTTTACTTTGATAAGTAGAGAAAATTTATAATGCTGCTTGTACTGTTTCACCAAGAGTCTTGTCTATCCCCATGTAGTTCCTTGCTATAAGCGCTGCAAACAGATGGAGTATTCTGATGAATTTGAAGCAGTCATTGAAGAGGATGATGGTGATGGGGGCTGGGTGGATACTTACCACAATTCAGGTATCATGATAGCAAATCAAAAAGGGGTGCTTTACACATTGGAAATGTTGATTGTTCAATTTTAAAACTGCCAAGAAATATTGCACTTCTAATTTATTAAATTGTTTTGAGAGAAATTATAGATCAGAGTCAACTAAATAAAATCTTGACCATTTCTTTGGTATTTAAGCTGGGCATATTTATTTATATTTCCAAAGTAATAAGATTTCTGGGAAATTTACTTACTTTTCAGCTAACTTTGCACAAAATTCTAAAAGATTTGGTAAACTACAGCTTCTTGAGGAATTACTCTATAGCCACTTGTTTTTCTTGCTCGTAAACTGTGAACTTAATCATTTACCTTAGAATATAAAGATATTTGTGCCTTCATTTGTTTATACATTGGGTTTCCTTTGCTGATAGGTTTTGCAGTACTAGAATTGTGTACCTGGAATTGTGTACCAGGATTTGAATTAATTAATTTGAGAATTTGCTATGCTTTTAAGATGAACAGAGCAAGGATAATGAACATGATTGAAAACTCTGTCTGGAAAAAAAATCAGGTGGCATGAATTTATACAATGAATGGCAGAACTCTAGGGAGCATTGACATACAGAGGGATCTGGGCGTACAAGTCCAATAGATCCCTGAAAGTGGCAACACCGGCGATAAGGTGGTCAAGAAGGCACACAGCACGTTTGCCTTCATTAGCTGGTTCATTGAATGCAAAAGTTTGCAAGCTATGTTGCAGCTGTATAAAAGTTTAGTTAGATCAATTTGGGATATTATGTGCAGTTCTGGTCACTACACTACTAAAAGGATGTAGATGCTTTGAGAGGTTTTACCAGGATGTTACCTGGTTTGGAGGATTTTGGTCATGAGAAAAGATTGGATAAACTCGGATTAATTTTATTGGAAAGACATAGGTGAAGGGTGACCTGATAGAGGTCTATAAAATTACGAGAGCCATAGGTTGGATAGTCACACCTTTTTTACCAGGATGGAAAGGTCAACTACAAGAGGACACAGGTTTAAGATACAAGGGGGAAAAGTTTTTTGGGGGAGAACTGAGGAAAATTTTTCACACCGGGTGGTGGCTGCCTAGAACATATTGCTAGTGGATGTGATGGAAGCAGACACATTAGTAACATTTAAGGCGTATCTTGATAGACATGTGAATGGGAGATGAACAGAAGGATAGAAACCGCACATGGGTATTAAGTAGCGGGTGTAAATAAGTGTTAAGAATCGGCGCACGCTTGGTAGGCTGAAGGGCCTGTTCCTATGCTGTATTGTATAAATCTCATTTCTGAACTCTAGATGACACAATTATAATAACCCTAACCCTGTCTGTTTTTTTAATGTACAAAGTTGACTTAATGTGAAGTAAATATTTAAAGAGTTGTTTTTTATCTTGTGCATTGCAAATGTTGATAGACAGGGAGCCAAAAATTTCTTAACTGCACTTTCCTTTGACATTGACAGGTGTTGCTGGGTTGACAGAATCTGTAACAGAGATTACTTTAGAAAGCAAAGACAACTCAAAGTGTGTAGGCAGCACCACAGCCTGTGTGGATGATAATGATGAAGACGATGATGGAGATGCTGCTGATATGGAAGGTAATAGCACAGCTACACTTTCTCTGTTCTCAGTAGCAGTCTATTTGAAATACTCTTTCCATTCTGGGTTTCCCTGATGCTTGTTAATTCCCTCACTATAAATCAGTCTCCGAGTTAAATATACTCATTTGCTGACTCTCTGGAATAGAGAAATCTAAAGGTTCACGACCCTTTCAAATAAAGAAATTCCCCATTGTTTCACTTCAGTCCTAGTTCTGAGACTATTACCCTGTTTCCTAGACTCTTCAGCCAGGGAACACGCCGTCACGGGAGGGGTTGAAGTGAATAGTATAGACGTATTAGGTGAACCTAGTATAGAATAGTAATTTATTGTAACTTGTATTTTTATACAAAAAAATAGTGAAAAGTCTGTAAGGCGCCATACAATGGTGGCTATATTAATTACAGAAGGCATAGATAAGATAAACTGATGGGGAAAGAAAAATAGATTTGAATCAGATAAAATGGGAAGAGGCTTGAGTGGATCATTAAGATTGACATGGACTGGTTGGGTTGAATGGTCAGTGTCGCTACCATGTATCTTATGAAATGCTATATAAAATCTACCCTATCAAGTCCCTTAAACTTATGTTTCAATGAGAACACTTCTAATTCTTACTTCTAGGGATTGTGGGACAGTGTACTCAATCTGTCCTCATCGAGTAATCCCTCATGCTAGGAATAAGCATTTGTTTCACTTCTTCTAAAATAAGTATGGCATGCATTGCGTAAGGAGACCTAAATTGTACAGTAGCTTTGGATATGGTCATACCAAAACCTTGAACAATACAGAGAGAATTACTCTTCACTGTACTAATAATTTTGTAACCAAGTCTAATGTGCTACTTGTTTTTCTAATTGTTTGATACATCATGAATGTGTCAGACAGGTTTGATGTAGAAAGAATATTTCCACTTCTGGGGGATTTCAAAGCCATGAGCCATAATTAGAAAATAGTCTTACAGACTCTTCAGTCCAACTCATCCATGCTGACCAGCTGTCCCATTCTGACTGTCCCATTTGCCAGCATTTGGCCCATATCCCTCTAAATCCTTCCTATTCATATACCCATCCAGATGCCTTTTAAATGTTGTAATTATACTCACCACCACCTCTTCCTCTAGCAGCTCATTCCAGGCACACACCACCCTCTGCGTGAAAAAGTTACCCTTCGGGTCTTTTTAAAATCTTTCCCCTCTCAACTTAAACACATGCCCTCTAGCTTTGTACTCCCCACCCCGGGGCAAAATACCTTGGCTATTCACCCTATCCATGCTCCTCATGATTTTATAAACCTCTAAGGTCACCTCTCAGTCACTGACACTCCAGGGAAAGCACCCCTTGCCTATTCAGCCACTCCCTATAACTCAAACTCTGCAATCCCAGCATCTTTGTAAATCTTTTCTGCACCTTCTCAAGTTTAACATCCATCCTGTAGATGGGTGACTAGAATTGTACACAGTATTCCAAAAGTGACCTCACCAATTTCCTGTACAGCCGCAACATGCCATCCCAACTCCTATACTCAATGCACTGACCAATAAATTCCGCCTTCACCACCCTGTCTACCTGCAATTCCACTTTCACAGAACTATGCACCTGCACCCCCAGATTTCTTTGTTTGGTAACACTGCCCACGGCCCTACCATTTATTGTATAAGTCCTGCCCTGGTTTGCCTTACCAAAATGTAACACCTCACATTTATCTAAATTAAATTCCGTCTGCCACTGCTCAGCCCTTTGGCCTGTCTGATCAAGGTCCCATTGTACTCTGAGATAACCTTCTTCGCTGTCCACTATGCCACCAATTTTGGTGTCATCTGCAAACTTACTAACCATACCTCCTACATTCACATCCAAATCATTTACGTATGATGAAAAGCAGTGGACCCAGCACCAATCCTTGTGGCACACCACTGGTCACAGGCTTATAGTACACCCCCACCCTCTGTCTACTACCTTCAAGCCAATTTTATATCCAGTTGATAATCTCCAATAAATCCAAAAAGGAAATAAGGGAAAATGTATTTACTCGGCAAACAGTTTTTAATTTGCTCGTGGGATGTGGGCATCACCATCTGGGCCATTGTTTATTGCCCATTCCTAGCTGCCCTTGAGAAGGTGTGGTGAGCTGTGGGACTATGGAACTTGCTCTCACATGAACTGTTTGAGACAAATAACTTGGATGTTTTCAAAAGGAAACTAGATCGGTACAGGTTGGGAAAGGGAAGTGAAATATATACCGACAGGGGAATGGAATGGAAGAAACTTTTATAATGTGCCAGACTCTCTCTTGGAAACTTATCGAATATCTTTTAGAATTCCATAAAAATTAAGTTCATAGAAATTCCCTAGTTTACTACTAGTCAATCCTGATATCCATATTTGAGTTGCAAGAAAGAGGCACTTGCCAACAAACAGACATGTAAAGCTATTGAGACCATTATTTGGTCTCAACAGAGATCAGTTAACCAGGCAGGCATCAGAGATCAACCTTGAACTTTCTAATTGCTCCATACAATTTATTTTATGCTAATACATCAGAGCAATTTAAATAAAACTTCATCTGACTACATTCTTTTGTTGAAAGGGAAACTGATAAATGTGTTCTTTTCACTACACTCTGTTGGGACCAAATTTAGCAGCTGTTCAGTTGTTATCATTGATTAATAACTATTTGCTTAACTGTAATGGAGTGGAATTTTACTTAGAACCTGTAGCTGCTAAGATTTCTGCATTCCTTGTCATGAGGGGAACAGATAACAGTCCATAGTTAACACAAGCTGGCATTACGATAGCTGTGATAGATGGGTTGTTAATAAGTTTAACATTGCAGTAGAATTTGCTTTTTCCTTTCCTACTCTACTTATTTACTCCTTCGAGATGCTGCTTAAAAGCTATCTCTTTGACCAAGCTTTTTGTGTCAGTTGCCCTAGTGTATCCTCATTTAGTTTGATGGCAAATCTTGTCAGGTCATTTTGCATTGTTAAAGTTTAGCTGTACGTTGTTAATGTGGGAGCTAATACAAACAAAATATGGAATTATCTCAAAGTAATGACACTTATCTGATTTAATTCTATTGCCCATTTATTACCCTATTATTTTTGTTGTTATTAATTATCAGCCATGTATTATAGATGTAGTGAGTGCTTATCATTTATTGAACTGTGACCTGTTATTTGTGTTTCTTGTATTCTGATTTAGTTTTGGTTTTTGATTGCCCCAGTTGACTGAATTGTGTTCAGAGTTATATTTGGCTGAAAATAAAAAATATTTTATTCAGCGATCTATGCCAGTACACACCTTCAGTGGCAATTTAACCATTATATCATCAAAGCAATATAAAGTTTGTGTTAACATTTTGGTTCCGGTGACCCTTCCTCAGTTCTGATAGTTCTAAGGAAGGGTCACAGGACCTGAAACGTTAACTCTGATTTTTTTTTTTTTTTCTTCACAGATGCTGCCAGACCTGCTGACTTTTCCAGCAACTTCTGTTTTTGTTCCGGATTTGTGGCATCTGCAGTACTTTTGGTTTTTACGTAGTTTGTGTTCTTGTTCTAACATCTTCGTAAATGTTTCCTTTCTCACAGCCTATGAAGAAAGTGGATTGTTGGAAGATACAGATGATGTAAGTTACAAATTGCTACAACATTTATAGCAAAATGTATGTTTTAACTGCCCCCTTCAGTTATTTGCCGTTTGAATGAAATTAGTAATTTATGTTTGATGTTTCAGCAAAAGTAGTTTGGAAAGTTTGATATTTGTCATATGCAAAAGCTTCTGCACCTGAGTGATATGGTCACACTGTTTCAATACACAGAGGAAATTTTGAGATGGGAGGCATAAATGACAATAAAGAAGCCCACTATTTACCACCAGTTTTGGTTGATAATTTGGATGAACTTCCATAGAAGCCACTTTCCAGCACTACTGCTTCCAGGAGATCCAAGCAGCAGAAAGGGTTGCAGCGCTCAATATGCTTTGACCTGCGGGATCTCGTGACAATAAATCAGAAAAACATCAGGCCAACCCAGGAAGAGAGTGAATATTTTTGCTGAAACTCAAAGGGAAAAGGCTACAGTAATTAAAATCCTCAGTATCCAGTTAACCTACCAACCTTTTATTTTAATCATTCGTTCATGAGATGTGGATATTGCTTGCTAGGCCTTAATTTATTGCCCATCCCTAGAGATGGTGGTGAACTGCATTCTTAAACCATTGCAGTCTTTCGGATATAGAAGTACTCTGCTGTTAGAAAACAAGTTCCAGATTTTGTCCCTGCAACTGTGAAGGTATAGTGATATAGTTCCAATTCAGGATGCTGTCTGACTTCAAAGGGTGATGGTGTTTCCATGTAGCTACTACCATTATCTTTTAGTGGTCACACTTTTGGAAGGTGGGGCCCAAGGAGCCTGGGTGAGTTATTGCAGTGTATCTTGTAGATGGTACATTGCTGCTGCGTTGGTGCTGGAGGCGATGAACGTTGAGGGTGGTGTACCAATCAAGCTGGCTGCTTTGTACTGGATGGTGTTGGCCTTAGTGTTTATTGGAGTTTCACCTATCCAGGCAAATGAGGAGTGCTCCATCATACTCCAGATTTGTGCCTTGTAGATGGTGGACAAGCTTTGGGGTGACAAAAGATGAATTACTCTCTACAGGATTCCTAACTTCTGACCTGCTGTTGTAGCCACACTACATATAAGGCTGGCCAAGTTCAGATTCTTTTCAACAGTAACAATCAGGATGTTGATATTGTGGGGATTTAGTGATGGTACTGCCATTGAACATTAAAGGGGCAATGGTTAGATTCTTTGTTGTTGATTATCGTTGTCTAGCACTTATGGTCCATTGTTATTTGGTGACACATCAGTCCAAGCCTGAATGTTGTCCCAGATCTTGCTACATATGTACGTGACTGCATCAGTATCTGAAGTCATGAATGGCACTGAAGATAGTACGATCATCAATGAAAATCTGCACTTCTGACCTTAGGTGGGTAAGAAAATTTTAACTCAAACATACAAATATATGAATTTGTCCTTATGGCTGCTCAAGCCTGCTCTGCCATTCATTAAGATTTTGGCTGACTTGATTGTGGCCTCAATTCCACACTGACACTTTTCCTCTCACAATTGAGTCTCGATATGTTTCTCTTATGGGAATTTATCCAGTGCTACTTTAAACCCTTCTGCAAATCATTTCATATCACACTGACTACTCTGTACAAGAAAAAAGCCCTGCTATGTAACCTAACTGTTTTCTCACTTTGTACTGATGCCCCAACAGGTCCATCCCATTCTCCCCAATCCACCATGCCTATTTGGCTCTAATAACTTAACTTGGACACATCTAATATCTTCATTATGTTAAAGTGTTAAAGTATTAAATTAATCCCCTTTGAAATGGTCATTACTTGACACTTGCGTATTGTGAATGATATTTCGTGCAGACATAGACTGGTTTATTATCTGAGGAATCATAAATAGAATCCTGCAAAATTACCATAAACGCAATTTTGAAAATGCATATTTTCAATCTAAGTTAGCTTACCTGTGCAATTGGCATGTATTGAGGGGCAAGTTAAACAAATGAAAAATGATTCCAGTGTACAAAAAAATTAAGAATTACTAGTTTACACTTTTGAAAAATGCATTAACCTCTTGGACCACTTGTACTGTTGTTTTTTTTTAATATGTGGCACTGTTTACTGATTTTTTTTTTCCATTTCCAAATGCCACCTAATACCAATGCTTGCAGTTGGCGGGAGGGAGAGAGGGACTAAAAATTGCAATCACCAGGAATGTAATACTGAGTAAATTTTGGAGCTGTGTGCTGATATGCCCCCAGGTCCTGATGGACTTCAGCCTAGTGTTTTAAAATGAATGACTAATGCAAAAGCTGATGTATTGGTTCTGATTTTATGAAATTCCCTAGCTTCAGAGAAACGTATTTGATTGGAAATAGCAAAAAAACACCTTTATTCAAAAAGCAAGCAGAAAATCACAGGCCACTTAGCTTAACATTTGTTATAGGATAAATGTTTGAAGCTATTATTGATTATTATAACAGGGCACTTGGGTAAATTCAAGATAATTAAGCAAAGACAGCATTTTTTTTTAAAAGTGAAATCATGTTTAACCAATTTATCGGAGTTGCATGAGGAAGTAACATTCTGAATATGCTGTTCTTAGATTTCCAGAGGGCTTTTGATAAGGTGCCACATCAAAGGTGGTTGTGGAAAATAAAGGCATATGGTGCAGGGGATAACATTGGCATAGATTTTTTTAAAAATTGAGTAGCTCACAAGAAGTAGAAAGCAGGCATAAAGGACTCTTTATCTGATTGGCACAATCTAGACTAATGTACTGTCGAGAACCTCAACATTATATAATTTATATTATTGACTTGAATGAATAAACAGAAGACATAGTGGTCGTATTTGCTGGCGACACAACGGCAGGTAGAAAAGTAAGTTGTGAAGAGGACAAAAGGAGACTACAAAAGATGTAGATAGGTTACGTCAGTGTGGTAAATAGAGAATAATATGGAAAAATGTGAATTTGTCCATTTTGATAGGAAGATTTGAAAGAAAGCACTATCTAAATATTGAGAGATTGTCACCCTGAGAGTTAGAGGGATTTGGATGTTCTGGTCTGTGAAGCACAAGCTAGTGTGGAGGTGTACAGCAAGTAATTAGGAAGGCGAATGGTATCACTTATTGTGAAGGTAATTGAATACAAAAGTGGGGAGAATATTCTTCAGTCATACAAGTCCCAGGTGAGATTACTTCAGGAGTATTGTGTACAGCATTTTTTCCCTTTATTTAAAGAAAAATGTAAATACATAGCAGTTTGAAGAAGGCCTACTAAACTAATAACAGAAATGGGCAGTTTAACTGGGGATAGGTTAGACAGACGGCTTCTATTCATTGGCATTTAACAGTGTAAGGAGTGATTTGATTGAAATGTAAAATTCTGAAAGATCTTGACAGGGTAGATGTAGAGAGGAAGTTTTTTTATGGGACAGTCTAGAACTAGGGGTTACAGTTTAAACATAAAGGGCCACTCATTTAAAAATAATGGAATTTTTTCTTCAGTCTCTGGAACTGCCTTCCTGAAAAGGGTGTAGAAGCAGAATCTATAAATATTATTTGGACAAGAGGCAGATAGCTGGTTACCAAGAATCTGAGTGGAAGATTAACAGAGCAGGTGGGAATGTAGATTTGAGATTATAAATAGATTCACTCTGAGCAGCCAAATGACCTACTCCTCCTTGTTCATATGTTCATATCATTACTAGTCACCATCTTGATTGATTTATTTTCACGCGTACTGAAGTACAGTGAAAAGCTTTGTTTATGAGCAGTACAGGCAGATCATTGTAAGCAAGGATGTACAGATCAAACAGGTTACATTGCGCAGGGCATGCTCTAGGCAAGATCAATGTTAGCAAGATCACTATTATTTGAGGCTAGAGAGTCCAGTCATCAGTCTAATAACGACTGGGAAGAAGCTGTTCCTGAACCTGCTGGTGCGTGTGTTCAGGCTTCTGTATCTTCTGCCTGATGGAAGAGGTTACAGGGAATTATTACTAGGGTGCGATGGGTCTTTGATGATATTGACAGCCTTTCCACTGCAGCAAGCTGTGTAAATGGAGTTACCTATCTAACACTCAATGGATGATCTTATCTCTGGTCGGTATGATCGCCAAGGAGTAAGACGTCTCATGTTCAGGTATTTTTCTTACAAACAGAAGATTAGAGTACAGTTTGCCATGGTTTATCTCAGTCGTAGAGGACTGTTTTCTTTATTTGGGAATGACACATGACTAAAGAGTAAATAATGTAGTTCACATTGAGAAAGAAAGTAACGTTTGTTTTTGTTAAAATGCTACTTTGGAAATATTATAGTTTGGATTTGAGTAAGCTATAATAGAAATCTGATTTTCTTTTAAATTGTTTGCACTAGGCAACCCTGGATACTAGCAAGATAGAAGCAAGCAAGCCCAAAGCAGATGCTGTTGGAGAAGATGGAATTCTTCAGACGAGAACCTACGATCTATACATTACTTATGACAAATATTATCAGACACCAAGACTTTGGTTGTTTGGTTATGACGAGGTACGTAGGTAGTGTCTTCATCCAATCATTATGTGAAGAGCTTACTATTTTACGGTCGCCTGTGAGCTCTATTTCCTTGAACATTATATGGTGTATGACTGAAATATAGTTTATACCAAGTTCTATTGTTTTGAATATGATGCAGACTTGTCATACATGATTAACGTATGTAAAACCATAATCAACCATTTGGCATCTTCCTATTTTCAGCAACGACACCCACTGACTGTAGAAGAGATGTATGAAGACATTAGCCAGGACCATGTCAAGAAAACAGTGACAATTGAAAATCATCCTCACTTGCCCCCGCCTTCAATGTGTTCTGTTCATCCATGCAGGTATTCATTTGTAATTTTCAATAGTCTCCTAATTAATTTGGGAATTAACGATTTATCAATGTCAGTGATAATAAAACTATACAGTACTCACTGGTAACTTTTAAAACATCTGATCTTCAATAATATTCCTGAGTTATTCAAGATCAAAAAAAAACTTCAGACAAATGATCTACTTGCAAGAAAATATTGGAATTCAAGATGATTTCTAAATATCTTTGTAGTTATGGAAATATGAATTTATCAAACGTCTAGTATACAGTCAGTGGTTGGACTGGCCTAAAAATGAAATGGAGAAAGTAGTGGATATATATTCTGGAATTCATATTTCTGAACTTCTGTTTGATGAATTCATTGCCAAGTAACATCAGTCATAAGTGTAAGCACATCCACAATAACCTATCTCAGTGGATTTGCTTACCCCTGTGGATTTTCCTGACTACACCACACTTGCACTTTGAGGCTCAAGTGCAATCGGTTGTTGTACTAATCTCTTCCACTTGAGGACAGGTCAGGAGGAAGCCATTGTGATTGTGGCTACAGAACCACGTTATTGCTGAACGTACTGAATCCTAACCATACTTTTAATAAAGAATATGTTTTTAAAACAAAATGTCTACATATATAGGGACTCTCTGGTGCAGTGGTAGTTTCCCTACCTGTTCCAGAGGTGTGTAGTAACATCTCTGAACAGATTGATTTAGAAAATAAATGCATCTAAACTTTAAGAGTTTTATAGTGCAGTAGTAGTGTCCCTACCTTTGAGCCAGGAGGGCCAGGTTCAAATCCCATATATCTCCGTGGTATGTAATGACATCTTTGAACTGATTGATTAGAAAATGTCTAAATTTACTTAGTAGGGGTCTTATGCAGTGGTGGTGTCTCTACCTCTGGGACAGGAGGCCTGAGTTCAAGTCCTAGCTGCTCCAGAGTTATGTGATGCTGTATCTGAACAGGCTGATGAAAAATAAATAAATCTACATGGAAGTGTCCCTTGCGGTGCAGTGGTAGTGACCCTCACTTGGAGTTTAAAAGCCCGAGTTGAAGTCCCAGCCGCTCCAGAGGTATGTGATTGAAATCTCTGATCATATTGATAAAAAATAGCTAAATCTACACACGAGGAGGTATTGATGCACTTGTTTTCTGTGGAATATGTCTGATTACTTACCTCTTCCTGAGAGTTTGAGTCAAGTGTCAATCAAAGCCAGGAAGAAACCTCTCCCTTCTAAGTACCGCAATATTTCTGTGACTAAGAAATCCTTCTGTCCATTACTGGAAAAAATGGGAATTCTGAAGTCTTGTTTCAAGGTTGGACCTTGGTATTAAGAGTTTTGAAAAGATTCGCTTCTATCAACTACTTGTAACTTGAAGATCATTATTTCAGGACTGCACCATGTCACAGAGTAGATTATCATGGGTTGTAAAAGTTAAGGAAAATAGCAATATGTGGTCACTTTTAAATCAAGAATTTTAAAATTGCTGACAGAAGGACAAGCTTTTAGGCTGACCAAGTTTATTCACCAAAATGTCAGTACCTCTTTCTAAAAGTCTTAAAATTTCATTATTGGTTATTGCCTCTTGGAGTTAAAGGTCCCAATGTTTATAGCGAGGGTATAGAGACTTAAAGTGGCTGTTATCATTTTTAAAAATCAGTTTCCACTAGGAATTCTTGAAGTTTAAATTTGAGACAGTTGGACTACATAATAAACCATTGGCATGCAGATGGTGTGCAGCTACAGGGAAGAAGAATTATCAACTATTCTGGGTAGGGTACATGGTTGGGGAGCTTGGACATCCTAATTCAGAGTGCAAGATCATACACTATGGATAAGAGAGGGATTAGTGATAGACCGCAACAGCAGGTAAACTGAAGGCTTTTTTGAGGCACATGGTGCAGGGGGTGAGTGCTGTTGTTCTTTCTAGCTCACAAGGAGTGCTGGAAAAGGCATTTAACTCCATGGAGCCAGCAGCTACTGCCTCTCTCACTGCTTTTTCACAGCACCGTTTCCTGCATGTCCACAGCATATACTTGTGTTACACAAAGCCCACAGCCATAAAAGTAGGAACGAACACACAAACTTCAGGTTAGAGTTGTATTTGGTGTGGCTGACATTTTTTTAACCCTTTCTTGCTGATCACGGTGGAAAGCGAGATTTAATGTCAATACCAAAATATCCTTTAATGAAATAATAGAATAAAGTGGTCAAAGTTTACCAAAATACTTGTCAAAAATGCCCTATTGCTAGAAGTTACTTTTCTGGTTATAATCTAATGGTTCTCGTTCATTTATTTAAGCTCCCAAAAGACATAAGTTACTGCTTTTAGCTTTTTAGATTTTGTATAAGAATGTGAGAAATAGAACTGGGGCATTAGGGTCTGCTTAATAATTTTATGGTTGATCTACTTCAGTTTCACCTTCTACTTCCATCTCCGCGTACCTTAACTTTACTGGTATTCAAGGAGGCTCGTACAATTACAATGTTTTAAAAAGTATCTGAATGGGTACATGAATAGGAAGGGTTTAGAAGGATATGGGCCAAATGCTGACAAATGGGACTAGATTAATTTAGGATATCTGGTCAGCATGGACGAGTTGCACCGAGGGGTCTGTTTCCGTGCTGTACAACTTTGACTCTTATCTGCTTTGAACATATTCATGACTCGAGCATCCCCAGCTCCGTAAGGTAGGGAACTCCCCAGATTCCGAACACTGAATGAGCGAATCCCTTCTCATTTCAGTCCTAAATATCCAACAGCTTGTTCTGAGATTGTGTTCTCTATTTCCAGTCAAGTAATTCTCAAGAAGTACCAGATGAAGGACCTCTTTCAAATTGAATAGTAATCGTGGATCTGCTTGCTCCTAAGTTAAATCCATAATTTGAATGGATTTCATGCAAGAAAACATTTCAATAATGATTTAAGTAAGAGAGGTATTTGCATCCAGATATCGATGAAATGGCTACCTGCTATTCACAGCAGTCTCTGTCCTCTGTCATAAATGTGATGTTTGACAATCTCTACAGGATTGTACTTTGTTACCATAGCAAAAAATAATGTTTCAAAATGTATGTTATTGTGAAAGATAGCATGCTTTCATCTCCTCTTTCACTAATTCTGGAAACTCCAGAATAACAGATGTCCAAAAGTGGCAAATATTCATTCCTAAAACTTTATTCACAGCAAGTGGTCACAGGGCAATTCTGTTTCTGGTTTTCCACACGGACAACAAGATATTGCGCAAATGTTAAACAAATCTCAATGCAATTGTACTTCGCTGTTTTAAATTTTCAAATTAAGTACTCCATTGTGAGGTGAGCCAGGATCCTATTACATTTACATTTGAAACTTTGCCAGTTGTGGAAATATATAAATTCCATTGCTCAGCCTAGGTTTCCAAACTTCTCTTCTAGTCTTCTTTGTAAATGTTGCAATTTTGTCACTTACTTCCTGAATGACACATGTGAGGGAGAAGTTGCTTGTGCAAGCAATAGATGGTCACCACAATAACACTTCAACTTTTTAGTTTTTCCATATTGCTAATTGCAGCATTTGTTTGACTCATCATGATTTGAGAAGCACTGTTACAGACTCTCCTTCCTGGGGAAGTATCCTGTTTACTGATTTGCTTTAATTTTTTTCTTTTGCGATAAACCTAGACTTCCTTTGGCATTTTTACAACCTTATCAACTTGACGTCCTACCTTCTTAATGTCCTGTGAATCTGTCGCCCCAATTTCTCTGGTCTTCTATCTGGCCTGCAAATGTTTGGATTGTAGTTATTTCTTATGTTTAACCAAAATGGATCACCTCATGATTTTTGTAATGAATTCCATTACAAATAATACCCCATTCCCCACCTTATTAATATCCTTTTTACAGAGTTCAATGATAAGTTGGTTACTCTGGTGGGACTTTGTGTTATTTGTGAATAGTATTTTAAAGGTATCTAATGTTTTCTGTTTCAGACATGCTGAGGTAATGAAGAAAATCATTGAAACAGTTGCAGAAGGTGGAGGTGAACTCGGTGTACACATGTATCCTTGGAGGTTAGCAGACAACCAAAATGTGAACGAAAGTTTCTAGATTTTCATATTTATTTATCTAGTAACAATTTAACACTCATCTACCTTCTTTTTTTTATAAAAAAGAAAGCTGATTGTATTTGTTGAAATTGTCTCCTAATGCACTGTGGCACAACTTAATCTTTCAATACATCTGTAGAAGAAGTGAGCGAAAGGGATTAAGAAATAACATTAGACAGACAGATGTCAACTGATACACAGTTAATACTTGATCCCGCAGCAACAGTTTAATTGTTTATCACCTACTGAAGGGAGGCAACCTCAGCAGAGAGTATAATGAACTAACTTGTAAATTCCCTTTGTCACTATTCTGATCTGTTGTGCAGTCTCGTATCATAGAATTGACCATTTGACCCATTGGTGACAACGTGATCTGGATGCTAAGAGTAAACACAATTTGTAATTGGATTCTTTCATGCTATCTGCCAGTTGGCAAAGTTTACATCCAGATTGCCCAGTACACTTAGACCCCAGTGTGGTGCAGCTAATTGTCCAGTTTAGCAGGCTGGATCAATTTTTAAGGTCTTAAACTCCATCCTCTACAGTCGGACTAGGGATGTGAGGTTGACCTCCACAGAGTGTCTTCTGGATTATATTATTAACTAGCTCTACCTCCTGCTTTATCCAATAAACTACACAAGGTGCCAAATCCTGAGCTGAGGCTTGCTTGCATTACGTTTATTTACTCTGCAATAAATCTTTTAGGAGTGTGAGTCTTTTTTTTTTAAACCAGTCATGTTGTGCAGTCTTAAGCCTCAGGATTTGAGGGAAAATGGTTTGAGGCAAGAGTAACCAGAGACAGACGAGTGACTGCTAGAAGCAGAATTATTTTCAGTTACGCATAGTGTGAAGATGTGATTTCAATGAGAAGGCAAGGTGTGTGAGATGCTGAAAAAGCCAGCAGGCATATCTGTGTTGTAAATTTCCCCCAGCCATCCACACCATGCATAACAACCTCTTGCAGAAAAGACAGGATGTCTTTCCTGGCCTCCTCATGGTCACCTGCTTCTCAAAGTTGATCAACTTCTACAAGAAAAAAGTTGAACCTTATCCCCTGTTGAGATGTTTTAAGGATGTGCATGTTGGGCCAAAATTGGTATGGGGAAGAATAATGAGAACAGAAGGCTCCAGTAATGGCAGAAGGAAACAGATACTGATCACCTTCTGTTTTTCCAATGATGGGATCCCCATATCATAGGGAACTATGTTGCTCCAAACTGTGTTCAGCATGCTATTGGCCACAGTTTCTCAATTTTCTGTTGATCCCCTTGGAGCTCCTTCCAAACAAAGCGTTTAGGACCTAGAAAGACCAGGACAGTAGGTTCACGTGACATGATCTCCTGCAAGTTTCCTTCAAAGCCACAGCTCGTCCTGACTTGGAACTATATTGTTGTTCCTTCACAATTGCTGGGTGTAAATTATAGAGTAATAGAGTCATATAGCATGAAAACGGACAGTTTGGTCCAACCAGCCCATGCTGACCATAATCCCAAACTAAACTAGTCCCACCTGCCTGCACTTGGCCCAAATTTTGGAACTCCCTGCCAATAACAGTACTGTAGACGTACCTACATCCCGAGAACTGCAATGTTTTAAGAAGGCAGCTCACCACCATCTTCTCAAAGGCAATTAGGGGTCAGCAGTAAATACTAGCCCAGCCTGCATCACCCTCCACCTATGATTTTTTTTTTCAAAAGGTACTATTCATGTGGAACTCCTTTTACTTGCCATTTTCTAGTAAAGCCTCAAATCACCTTTGTCCATCATCTAATGACCAGCTAATAAATATCTCTCCATTCCTGCCTTTCAAGCAGTATGAGTAATGTCTGTTTGGAATTCATGGAAGTTCGGAACTAAAACAACCGTCTTTACTGACTTTATAATCTGGCATCTGAATCAGGTACGTCTGTAATGCTGCAGGGCAGGGGTGATAATTGATTAGCCAGCTAGGCTCACGAATGAGCAGGAACGAGAGGGCTAACCTTTTGAGTTAAATCTAACAAAGGAGTCATCACCAAGTTTGTGAATCAGGATCTTTATTACCATAATACCATAAGATATTGGAGCAGAATTAGGCCATTCAGCTCATTGAGTCGACTCTGCTATTCAATCATGACTAATAAGTTTCTCAACCCCAGCCTTCTCCACATAAACCTCGATCCCCTTACTGATCGATAACCTATCTAGCTCTGTTTTAAATGCACTCCGCATTGGTGTCCGCAGGCCTCTGTGGCAATGAGTTCCACAGAGTCTCCACCCTCTGGAAGACATTCCTCCTCATCTCAGTTCTAAAGGGCTGTTCCATCATTCCTGAGGCTGTGCCCCCAGGGTTATATGTCTGTCCTATTAGTGGAAACATCTTCTCCATGTCCACTCTATCCAGACCACTCAGTATCCTGTAAGTTTCATCTGATCCCTTCATCCTACATTCCATCGAGTACAGACACAGAGTCCTCATCTTCCTTTCACACCAAGCCCTCATCCCTGGGATCATTTTTGTAAACCTCTCTGGACCCCCTCCAATGCCAGCACATCTTTCCTTAGATACGGGTCCAAAACTGCTCAATACTCCAAATGTGGTCTGGGGGCACTTCAAATTTCCGAAGCCTTTCCCATTTATAGAATAGTCTACAGCTTTCCATAAAAATGTATAACCTCTCACTTTACCACATACAAACAAGGACAGGACTTGTACAATTAATGGTAGGGCCCTGGGTAGTTTGTAGAACAGAGACCTAGGGGTTCAGGTATATAATTCTTTGAAAGTTGTGTCACAGCTTGACGGGGTGGTTAAGAATAACAGTGTGAAGCCGGAGGAACACAGCAGGCCAGGCAGCATCAGAGGAGTAGGAAAGTTGACGTTTCGAGTCAGGGCCCTTCTACAGAAAAATCATTTTCTAAAGAAGGGTTCTGACCCAAAACATCAAATTTCCTACTGCTCTGATGCTGCCTGGCCTACTGTGTTATCTCTGACTCTAGCTTTGGCAGATCTTACTATCGTAGGGTGGTTAAGAAGGCGTTTAGTATTTTTGCATTCATTGCTCAGACCTTTGAGTATAGGAGTTGGGACTTCAAGATGATTGTACAGGACATTGGTGAAGCCTCTTCTGGAGTACTGAGTGCAGTTCTGGTTGCCCTGTTACAGGAAGGATATTATTAAACTGGAGAGGGTTCAGAAAGGATTTATTTAGCAGGATGTTGCTGGGAATGGAGGGTTTGAGTTATAAAAATAGACTGGAAAGACTGGGATTTCTTTCACTGGAGCTTAGGAGGTTGAGGGGTGATCTTATTGAGGTTTATAAAATCTTTATCATCTGCAATCTTCACAACAATGCCCTCAGTTCCTTCATCCAGATTGTTAATGTATAATGTGAATAGCTTTGGCCCCAACACTGACCTTTACAGAACTCCGCTCGTCACCAGCTGCCATCCTGAAAATGATCCCTTTATTCCTGCCGTCTGTTTTCTGCCGGTCAGCCAATCCTCTATTCATGCCAGTAACTTGCCCCTAATGCCATGAGGTCGTATCTTATTTAGCAGCTTCTTGTGTGGCATCTTGTCAAAGGCCCTCTGAAATCCAAATAATTGATGTCTGCTGATTCCTTTGTCCAACTTGCTCATTACCACCTTAAGGAGTTCTAACAGATTTGTCAGGCATGATCTCCCTTTGACGAAGCCGTGCTCACTCTGCCCTATCTTACCGTACATTTCCAAGTGCTCTGCAATCTCATCCTTAAAAAATGGACTGTAAAATCTTACAACGACTGAGGTCAGGTTTAACCAGCCTTTGGTTCCTGTCTCCTCTCCCTTTGTCTCTTCCTCCCTTCTTAAACAGGGTGTTACATCGTCTATTTTCCAGTCTTCTGGGACCATACCTGACTTCAGACATTCCTGAAAAGTCACCAATGCCCTCTATAATCTCCTCACCTATGTTCTTCGGAACTCTGGGGTGTAGTCCATCTAGGCTATCTGCTTTCAGACTCATCAGCTTCCCCAGCACTTTCTCCTTCGTAATGGCTACAGGACCAACCACTGCCTCTGACTGTCTTGAAGGTCTGGGATGTTGCTGATGTCTTCCACTGTGAAAACTGATGCCAAGTATATTTTCAGTTCCTCTGACATTTTTGTTCCCCTTTTACTTCTTCACCAGCCTCGTTTTTCAGTGGTCCAATGTCCACCCTTGCCCCTCTCTTATCCTTTAGATATCCAAAAAATAAACTCCTTCATTCTTTTATATCACTAACTAGTTTACTCTCATATTTCATCTTCTCCCCCTTATTGATTTTTTTTTTTTTTTTAAAGTTATCCTCTGCTGGGTTTTAAAGTCTTCCTAATTCTCTGGCTTCTCCCTAATCTTCTTCATATTGTATGCTTTTACTTTTGCCCTTATTCTGTCCCTGACTTCCCTTGAGCCAAGGTTGCCTCATCCTTCCCTTGGTGTGTTGCTTCTTCCTTGGGCTGAATTTCTGCTGTGCCTCCCTAATTACCCAAAAACTCCTGTCATTGCTGCTACAACGTTATCCCTGCTATGTTTCCCTGCCAATCACTTCTGGCTAGCTCACCCCTCATGTCTTTGTAGTTACCTTTACTCAATTGTAATACCATTACATCTGATACAATCTTCTCTTTCTCATTACAGGGTGAATTCTATCATATTATGGTCACTGCCCCCTAAGGGTTCCTACACATTCAGGCCCCTAATCAAGTCTGCCTCATTACACATCACTAACTCAAGAACTGCCTGTTCCTAGTGGGCTCTGCTACAACCTGAGATTTGCTACCAACCTGAGTTTCCATTACATTTAAAATTGTATGGTAATACATGGTTTTCCTTTAGTCCAGTTTCTATTTCACTTCTAATTTCAATTCCTTCTCTCCTGTGGCAGTAAGAACACATAATTTATAGTCAGTTATTTATTATAACCTCTTTGGCTATTAAGGATTTCCAGAGGCCACCTTAGGCACACCGGAAGGTTCAGGTTCGTAATGTTAAGGATTTGGGTCTCAAAGTACTGCAACATCTATTGTTTTGATGGTGCTGTTTCCTTAACTTATTGATTTTCAGGTATCTTCTTATTTTTTTGAAATTTGTTCAAGCAGTCATTCCAACAATTGAATATGATTACACAAGACACTTTACCATGTAACTCCAAAGTTTACACAATCACAATATTCTCAGAAAATGTTCTGAGCTGACAACGCTGCTGCCTTTCAAATGTAACTAATAATTCGCTCAGCACAATTCTGACCATTGTTCAGGTTCTGTTTCTTTTTACAGAGGTTCTTTAATGAGATTAGCAAGAGCTTGTCTGTTTATCCATATGAAGAAGCTGAATTCAATTACAAAACTTATCTGCTTTTTTTCTATGAATTCCTCATTTTGTGTTCCCCAGTCTACTTTTTAGTAAACAACTAAAGCAAATACATACACTCTAATTCATATTTCATTGCATTTTGAAAGTAAGATGTATTGACTTCTATTAAACTGATTTATATTTGCAGTATACAAATAAATGAAAATGTCTGACGAAGATTTTCTTTAAATGTTCTCTTTCTTGCAAATGGAATTGTAGCACTTTGTCAGGTTTTTTGCTTGTTTGGGTAAAAGATTACCTTTGGCATTTAAATAGAAAATAGTAAATACAGTTAGTATTACACAAGCAAGACACTGAGGGAAACTGTAATTCTATTCTTTTGCCGCTGTGAGCTGACATTATCCTGTTTTATTCCTAACTTGTTATATTGATTGTCTGTTATAATGCTTGATAATATTACCCAGTACATTAATTGCTTGATATGTTTTAAATGCAGCACATTATATAAAGTGGATATATTTGAGACAGATTGAAAAATTGTGAATTAGATGCCAAAAAACTCTACAACATGCTTTTTTTTACTTCCATTAAAATATAGCACTATAAATTACATTTTACAATTCTGAACTATGTCTTCATAATGTTCATGCTCGGGAACATCTTGGCATTGATGTACAATAATTCATTTCTCAGCAAGAGACAATCTTTGTAAACTTCAGTTTATCATTTTTGGTAAACTTGTATGTATGCAAGAGGGAAACACAAGATTTTCTTTTCCAGTGCCAGTATTAATTGTTCCCTGATCAAACAAAATATAACATTTTATTTGCTGTATTAAAAACATATTAAGTTTTGGGGGCAGTGGGATCTCTGACTGCACCAATTCAATAGTTCTGTTTCCTACACCAAGCATTCTTTGTAAATCTCAGACACAGAATTACAATTTAATACCAGTGTGTGTCAAAGTATTTCATTGTATATTAAAATATAGATAAATAAATTTCCAACTACACGCTCAAGGCCTTCAACAACATAGTCACAGAATCCCTACAGTGCAGATAGAGAGACCAATTGGCCCATCAAATCTGCACTGACTCTCCAAAGAGCATCCCACCCAGACTCTCACCCCCACCATATCCCCGTAACCACACGTTTACTATGGCTAATCTACCTAGCCTACATAATCCTGGACACTATGGATAACGTAGCATAGCCAATTCACCTAACCTGCACATCTTTGGACTGTGGGAGGAAACTGGAGCACCCAGTGGTAACCTACGCAGACACCGGGAGAACGTGCAAACTTCACATTCACAGTCATCCAAGAGCAGAAACGAACCTGGGTCCAGGGCGCCATCAAGCAGCAGTGCTAACCACTGCCATCATACCATCCCATGATATATATTAATGAAATGAAGTGCATTAAATGCAATAGGTAATTCATAAGGAAAAATACTTATGTAAATGTCTCAATGTCAGGGCAGTGAAATTTTTAAAAATTCAATTCAATTTTATTTTAATATTACTGCAAGTATTGCATATGAATATTTGAAGAGTTGAAAATTTGCACCTTCTACAGTTTGTCTCCAATCTCTTGTCATTTTTTTGACCCCAAGCTCATCATTTTCAGAGAGCCCACCTCCTCTTCTGATGACTGTGTTCCTACTAAACAGCTGACTACCCAACATCCCTCTCTCCCTGGCCCACATATTTCTTAATATAACCAGTAGTTAAAGTGAGAAAGGAAACTGAGAGCTTTTCATTGATATCTAAGTATATAAAGGGGTTACAACTGAGACTGGGGGAGAACTATTGGACTGATATAGTTTTAACCCACTGCATAAAACCTCTCGGCTGAATTTTGTTTGTTTTTTTTGGCTAAGCGTTCATTTGATCAAGGCTTTTGGAAGGTTTTCGCTGAGGTCTGAGATAGCAAGAACTGCAGATGCTGGAGTCAGAGATAACAAAGCGTGAAGCTGGACGAACACAGCAGGCTGGGCAGCATTTCTAAAGAAGGGTCCTGACCTGAAACGTCAGCTTTCCTGTTCCTCTGATGCAGCCTGGCCTGCTGTGTTCCTCCAGCTCCACATTTGTTTTCGGTGAGGCCTAGTGGGTTTTCTCACTGCATCTTGCTAAATTCCCCTGTAACTACCTACCCTGCCTCCATTGCATCTCGTGTCCAATTCCAGTCCCCTCTTACCACGTGCCATTTGCCAAACAACTTGCCATTCAGATATCCACCAAAAGATCCATATCCCCTGTGCTTACATCATTAAAAAGCTGCTGTGCACTGAGACAAGCATTGGCAATCTGACATTGCACCTCCCCTGCAGGCACATAATCAGCGTGGCTGCCATTCCCTTATTACCCTCATCACTGTTTAACCACTAGGCCATACACTTTACCTCTCTGTGGCAACGTTCCATCTGAACACCCTCTCCAGCTCATCTCTCTTCTGTCCTCAGTACCTAACTGGAGATCTGCAGCAAGTCATTGTCCAGGAGGGAGCCTCATATAGCAGACAGTGGAACAATTTCAAACATGAGCTATTATTTACAGACCGCAAAAACAAATACAAACATAACTGATAGAGGCTGAAGTTCACCCTCACAATGCAAATCAAACACTACCAGGATGACCAACCACTAATTTTACATCCATGATTGTCTGCTACATCCATGATTGTCTGCTACATCCAACTCTCAAGGTGAGGTAGAACTTGATTATGGACCTTCTCGTCTACAGGTAGAGCCACTACTGCCTACAGTGTGGAAACAGGCCCTTCGGCCCAGAAAGTCCACACCAATCCTCAGAGCATCCCATCCAGACCCATCCAACTAATCTACACATCCCTGAACACTATGGGCAATTTAGCATAGCTAATCCACCTAGCCTGCACATCTTTGGATTGTGGGAGGAAACCAGAGCACCCGGAGGAAATCCACGCAGACACTGGGAGAATGTGCAAACTCCACACAGACAGTCGCCCAATGGTGAAATCAAACCCAGTTCCCTGACGCTGTGAGGCAGCAGTGCTAGCCACAGAGCCACCACGCTGCTTGTTCATTTAACAAGCCTACCACTTTCTTCTTGTTGTCAATACTATAGTAGTTGACTGTGTCTCTGTCCTTGGCCTCCTGCACTGTTCCAGTTGTGATAATACTATGGCTTTAAGAGGTGTATTTTGTCCTGGTTTCTTTTAAGAGAGAGATTGAACGATGGGGGCCGAGCAGTCTGTAAGAAAGTAACCACTTGAGAGGGCTTGGATTTTTTTAAAAGTTGGAACAGTAGAAGCAGCCTGAATGGGTATGGTCAAGCTCTTTCAGAACGAGAAATTTTAGTTTTTCAGTAGCAGTTGTTGCTGGGTCTGTTACTGCAGTATTTCTCTCTCTGCTACACTCTTGAGTCCTTTAATGTTTTTCCTCCTGGGCTGCTGGGCATTGCATGTGAGACAATCTGTTTTCTGAACTTTCCTTTTGCTAAAAGGTGTGTTTATGGGATATTGCTAAATTGGAACTATTATTATTTAGTAGTTAACTAATCTATAATTCTGTTTTCCAATAGAGATACTGCTAAGCCAAGAGATAACAAGGTGTAGAGCTGGATGAACACAGCAGGCCAAGCAGCATCAGAGGAGCAGGAAGGCTGACGTTTCGGGCCGAGACCCTTCTTCAGAAAATGGGGGAGGGGAAAGGGGTTCTGAAATAAATAGGGAGAGGGGGGAGGCGGATACAAGATGGATAGAGGCGACAACAGGTCAAAGAGGCGGGGATGGAGCCAGTAAACGTGAGTGTAGGTGGGGAGTTAGGGAGGAGATAGGTCAGTCCAGGGAGGACGGACAGGTCAAGGGGGCGGGATGAGGTTAGTAGGTAGGAGATGGCGGTGGAGCTTGAGGTGGGAGGAGGGGATAGGTGGGAGGAAGGACAGGTTAGGAAGGCGGGGACGAGCTGGGCTGGTTTTGGGATGCGGTAGGGGGAGGAGAGATTTTGAAGCTTGTGATGTCCACATTGATACCATTGGGCTGCAGGGTTCCCAAGCGGAATATGAGTTGCTGTTCCTGCAACCTTCGGTGGCATCGTTGTGGCATCGTTGTGGCACTGCAGGAGGCCCAGGATGGACATGTCGTCTGAGGAATGGGAGGGGGAGTTGAAATGGTTCGTGACTGGGAGGTGCAGTTGTTTATTGCGAACCGAGCGTAGGTGTTCTGCAAAGCAGTCCCCAAGCCTCCGCTTGGTTTTCCCGATGTAGAGGAGGCCACAATGGGAACAGGGGATGCAGTATACCACATTAGCAGATGTGCAGGTGAACATCTGCTTGATATGGAAAGTCTTCTTTCACAGAGAGAGTGGTCCCTCTGGAAAAATGTTCCCTCCCCACCCTTATCTGCTTTCTGGAGGGACCACTCTCTCCGTGACTCCCTTGTCCGCTCCACACTCCCCTCCAGCCCCACCACACCCGGCACTTTTCCCTGCAACCGCAGGAAGTGCTACACCTGCCCCTACACCTCCCGCCTCACCCCCATCCCAGGCCCCAAGAAGACTTTCCACATCAAGCAGATGTTCACCTGCACATCTGCTAATGTGGTATACTGCATCCGCTGTACCCGGTGTGGCCTCCTCTACATCGGGGAAACCAAGCGGAGGCTTGGGGACCGCTTTGCAGAACACCTACGCTCGGTTCGCAATAAACAACTGCACCTCCCAGTCGCGATACATTTCAACTCCCCCTCCCATTCCTCAGACGACATGTCCATCCTGAGCCTCCTGCAGTGCCACAACGATGCCACCCGAAGGTTGCAGGAACGGCAACTCATATTCCACTTGGGAACCCTGCAGCCCAATGGTATCAATGTGGACTTCACAAGCTTCAACATCTCCCCTCCCACTACCACATCCCAAAACTAGCCCAGCTTGTCCCCGCCTCCCTAACCTGTCCTTCCTCCCTCCCACCTAGCCC